ATCTCACCTCTGTGCCCTGGTCCACACCCGCTCCGCCCAGCAGGAGCTGCCTCCGAACTCCCCCAACCATGTCCCATGACCGAACATTTGTGAAAAGCAGCACTACTGCTATCTGGGCAGGACAATTTTCTACCAGTGGGACTGTTCTGGACACTGAAGTCATTTAGCAGCCCAACCCCCACCTGGCCAGTGCCAGCTGCACTCCCACTACTGTGACAACCAAAAGTGTTCCCATGAATTTCCAAATGCCCCAGGAGCCAGCACCCTCAATGCCCAGCTCAGGTGTCTCCTCCTCATGGAGGTGTCCCCATCCCACCCTCGTCCCAGGCGACCACTCCTCCTCCCTGCTTAGGGCCCCAACTTTGGCATCTCTTGGTTGGGCAACATTTTCCCACTGAGTCAGACATGCTCTGACCAGAGAAACAGGATCCCCCCAGAAATGAGAATCCCCACAAGGCCTCAGCCCCGAAGACTCTGATCAGGGTTTCCCCAACCAGGAGGTGAAATAAAGGGACCCGCCTCTTCTGGCCTCTCTGACCCCAGCTGTCACCTTCCTCAGGGACACAGCCACATTCCCTCTCCTGCCACTCCCTAGCCTGCCGGCATCCAGTTTGGTAAATTACACATAACAATCTCCGAAGGAATCCAAGGTTGGTTTTTTGGTGGGGGGCGTGGGGGACTGGGGAAGTGTCCCTGGAGGTCAGGCAGAGAACAAAGCTCCCACACACACACACACACACACACACACACACGCACACTCTCTCTCTCTCTCTCTCTCTCACTCTGCTCTTGCCTTAATCACCTCCAAAGAGGCCAGATGATCAGCTGCCCCTGTGGCCTGGGCTCCTAGACCCTGGGATTAAGAGTTGGGATTAAGGACAAACACATTCTGGTAGCTCAGAGCCCCTGCAGTGTGAATGTGTGTGTGTGTGTGGTAGAGTGTGTGTGTGTGTGTGTGTGTGTGTGTGTGTGCGCGGGCGCACACAGGCATGTACCGCATATCTAAACACATTCAGGGGTGTTTCTGGGTGTGTGTCTATATCTAGGTACATCCGAGTATGTACACCTAGGGCTGTCTGGAGCGGCTTAGATGCCTGTGTGGGTCTCAGTGTGTTCATGTGAGCATGGAGGGCTGTATCTCTGAGTGGTGCCTGTGCACATGGCAGAGCGTGTGTGTCCCTGTCTCTGTCTCTACATGTGTGCACAGGATAAGGGCATGTGCACAGGTCCGCATTCCTTCATCTATAAGCATGCATCTGAGCCTCCCAAGGTAGAGAGAGCGTCTTCCAACTTCCTTAATCCACAGTGTTGCAGGAAAGCTCCTGCAGCTGACACAGAGGGAGGCACAGCAGCTGGGGGACTCCTGATCCCCCGGCAGAGGCTACAAACACCTTTTCCTACAGACACCAGGGCCCCACGCATCAGCACAGACACACAGCAACACACCATCACACATGTTGCAAGCACACGCAAACCCCTAACCCAAGCCCAATTCCTAAACAGAGACACAGCCTTGGCTCCACGTGGAAAAAGGATTCCCTGGCCTCACCTGCAGCCCTGCAGCCCATCCCTCAAGATAGAGCTGAGCCCCTTCTGCATGTGAGATTGTGTCCCTACAAGACCCCCAGCTCCCCAGCTCACATGAGAATAGGATCCAGCTAGGGCTCAGCTCCCAGAGGCCATGTGGTGGCTAGGACCCCAGGAGCTGTTCCTCCTCTCACTGCTGAGTGACCCTGAACAGCCACGCTTCATCTTTGGGTTCAGTCTCCTCATCTGAACAGCAAGGCCAGGGCCGATTCCTGGTTCTTTGCCCCCAAAGTTCCTGGAGGGACAGATGCAGGGAATTGTGAGTTCTGGGGCCAGGAGGGCAAGGAACTAAAGAAGAATCAAGAATCCCTCTCGCCTTGGCCCTAACTACCCTCTCAGCCCTCAAGATCCCTGTCCCCAAGGGGAACCCTCAGATCCTGACCCTGGTGAGTCACAGCCAGGGAGATGGCAGGTTCCAACCACCCAGGGTGCAAGACAAGGGCCTCTAAGGAAGCAGAGCAGGGGGAGGAAGCAAGTAAGAAGAGGAGGGTGGGAGCAGGGAAGGAGGGAGAGGGGCTGAGCAGACTGAGGAGGAGCTAGAGAGGAGGGAAGCTGGAGAGGGGAAAGTCTCTCAAAACCAAGCCTAAGCCTCCAAGCCCACAGTCCGTCCACTCTCCAGAAAGACGGAGCCCAGCAGATTCTCACGCACCCTCCCTGCCTGCACTCGCACAACCCACTGGGGTTGGAAAGCCTGCATCCCCTCGTGCGTACCACTCACTGCTGCCAGGCTCCACTCTCCTCTTCTTCCACTCTGGGGGGGAAGGGTCACATGGGCTGGGGAGAAAGGACAAGGTGTAACAACAGGGGAGAACTAGAAGTGAAACAGACTGAGGAAGTGTGAAAGCAGAGAAAAGAAACAAAGTGGCACTGTCAGAATTTGGGGAAATGTAACAAAGTACTGCGTGTGAGGGTTAGGCAGGGAGATGATGTAATGGGGAATTAGCAGCTGCAACAATGTATCCAAGTGAGAGCTCCAAGGTGGTAACAATGTAACCCTGTGGGGAACCACACATTGTTATGTGAAATTACAGAATTGGGCTTGGCAAAAAATCCTAACTTGTAGAAGATGCACCTGGTAAGCTAGAGGAGGGAGGCAGGAGAGAGGAGGATGAGGAGTAGCTCACTGCGCTTGGGGGCTGGTAGGGGGCTGGTAGGAGGGGTCATTAATGGATTCTCAGAACAGAGGACATCTGTGCTGGGTTTGAAAGGATGAGTAGGAGTTCACTGAAGAATAAAGGAACAGTCCATAAACAGAAAACAGCACATGGGTAGGCATGAAGAAAAAAGACAATGGTATAATGGTATGCTCTGTGCTCAGGATGTCTTGGCTGGTAGGAGTATGGGATGTACAGGCCGGGCGCAATGGCTTACCCCTGTAATCCCAGCACTTTGGGAGGCTGAGGTGTGTGGATCATTTGAGGCCAGGAGTTCAAGACCAGCCTGGCCAACATAGTAAAACTCCATCTATATTAAAACTCCAAAAAGATTAGCCAGGCATGGTGGCATGGACCTGTAGATCCCAGCTACTCAGGACACTGAGCCAGGAGAATCACTTGAACCTGGGAGGCGGAGATTACAGTGAACCAAGATCCTGCCACTGCACTCCAGCCTGGGTGACAGACTAAGACTCCATGTCAAAAACAAAAACAAAAAACAAACAACAACAACAACAACAAAAAAAAAAAAACAGAAGGGTGGTAAGGCAAAGGAATGAGGCTGAAGAAGTACATTGAAGGCACTGACAGGAATTAATTTGGCATAGGAAATACTGGGCATAAAGGCAGTTGGGGTGGTCAAGAAAGTTTTCCCAGAAGAGGATTGTGAGAGGAGCTGAGCCTGCATTCTGGATAGAGCAGAGACAAGTGAAGAAACATGGGCCAGGCGCGGTGGCTCACACCTGTAATCCCAGCACTTTGGGAGGCCGAGGCGGGCGGATCATGAGGTCAGGAGTTTGAGACCAGCCTGACCAACATGGTGAAACCCCGTCTCTTCTAAAAATACAAAAATTAGCCAGGCGTGGTGGTGCACACCTGTAATCCCAGCTACTCGGGAGGCTGAGGCAGGAGAATCGCTTGAACCCAGGGAAGTGGAGGTTGCAGTGAGCCGAGATCATGCCACAGCACTCCAGCCTGGGCAACAGAGTGAGACCCTGTCTCAAAAAAAAAAAAAAAAAAAAAAAAAAAAGAAAGTAAAAGAAAAAAGAAAAGAAACATAGTACAGGGGATAGTGCCCTGTCCAGGAGTCAGGAGACAGAGTTCTTAGTCCCAGCTTAGCCACCAACTTGCTGTGTTACTTTGGGGAAATCATTGTACTTCTAAGCTGCAACTTCCCCAAATGTAATATAAGAAAGCTGAGTTACAGAAGATAGTCATGATGACTCAAGGTCAATGCTTTGGCCTCAGTGTCCCCTTTGGAACAATGAACAATTTGGACAAGAGTATTTTCAAGGATCCTTCCAGCTGAAATTCTCTCCAGCTGTCAGACCTTTCCCCAGCCTGGGTTAGCCTCTGCCCATAGCCCATATGGACAGAAAGCATGCGGCAGAGAACAGACCCATGTGGAAGCCAGGAGCCCGAAGTCCTGGGTAAGGGCCTGCCCGACAACAGCCACATTAGTTCAGGTACCTAGCAAGTTCACATTGGAGGGATACCACACTTTCCAGTCTACAAGGCACATGGCAGCACGAAGCAGTGCTTATGCACTAGATGGGACTCTGGGGTGGAGGGGCAGGCTGCTTGGGTTCAAATCCCAACTGGGCCACTTACTGGCTCTATGACCTGGGACAAGCTATTTAACCTCCCTGTACCTTGATTCCTCTTTTGTAAAATGAAGATTACAATGGTATCTCCCTCATGAGGCTAAGGATTGAGTGCTTATAGATGAGACATCTGGGAGAGTGTTTTGTGTGTGGCAGGCATTCAAGGGGCGGAACTCAATATTGTCACCTCCAAGCTCTGGCATCTCATGCTACCTCCTCAGGACAGCAGGGCAGGCCCTATTTTACAGACCAGCACCCTCTACCTGCAGGATGGTACCCAAATGCCTTGGTTTGGACTCAAAGCCCACCTTGTGAGCCAGTAAGGTCTTCCATGTGTAGGACCTGTGGGGTTCAAATACTCAGCCCCAGAACAGAGTCACAAGGCCAGACACCCAAGAGACACCCAGTGACTTTCCATTAAACGCATGAAACAACACTCTCATTAGAAAGGGCAGCCCCCTACAGCAGTGACCCCTGGCCACCAAGGGAGGTGTGTTCCCCTCTCCACATGTGGCCCTCCCTCCCCAGGTTGGGAAATGCTGCATTTACCAGCACTTTAGCTCCCTGATATACTGCAACCTTCCCCACTTCTGAGCCTTTGTCCTTCCTAGTCCCCTTATCAATGTGCTGCCATCTGCCATGGCCTGGTACAAAGGACACCTCCTCCATGGAGCCTTCCTAGTCTTCAGGGTCTAAATCAACTTCTCATTCCCTGACCTATTCCCTCACCGAACTGAGAGCTTCCTGAGGTCAGGGACCAAGCTGAGCCCCCTGGGAGTCCCTAGTGCTTAGCAGAGCCCAGACACAGAGGGGCCATCAGCAAACAGTGGCCAAAGTAGCTGGCAGGTCAGAGGCACACAGGGGATAAGGATCCAGGTACTGGACTCCCTGCCCAGCCCCCAGCTAGCCTGGAACTGATGATCACGTCACAGGGGTCAGGGAGGGAGACGGTGCTCAGTGTGATGGGTAAAGAAAGAGACGCCTCCTACCCTGGCCCAAGAGGAACCATAGACAAGCCACATGAAGGGAGCAGGCCTCCCCTCCCCACCCAGGCAGCCATCCTGCCTGCCCTTCCCCACCGGGCCAACGTAGGTCAGGCCCTGCCCTATCTGGCCTCAGCTCTTTCTGACAGTTCCTCAAATCTGAAGACTACAAGGGCCCCTGAGTCACCCCACTCACTCTTCCCATTTAACAGATGTGGAAGTAGAGGCCCAGAGAGGGAAAACGCTGCCCACTATCACTTGACAAGCTAGTGGCGGATTCACCTCTGAGACATAACCACCTTGGGGAATGCATAATAATTAAGGTCATCACCCAGCAGCAGGTTCCTTTTAACCAGCTGCAGCTCCCAGCACCACTCCTCACCACCACCTAGCAGGTCAGGGATCACCGGCTCCATTTGACAGAAGAGGAGACTAAGACTGAATCAAGAGTCACTTAGCCATATCCACCCACTTCTAATGGCAGAGCTGGGGCTCAGCCTGTCAGAGAGGAGGGGGAGGGTTTCCTCCCTGCTTCTCTTTAATTCCCTCCTCGAGATCTCACACTGGCACAAGCACCTGCCACCAATAAACCTGCCTGAAGCAAGGCACGGCCAGACAAGACACAGGACACACATGTGACACAACTGAACACTGACAGCGCCCTGCACAGGGCTTCCTATACAGCAAGTGCTTAGTAAATGTCTGCTGAGTGAGCACCACAGTCTATCAAGCCTGGCACCCATACAGGAACCCACACATCTGCATGCTAACCCCAGCCTGCCTGATGCCCCTGAATGAGCATCTCTGTAAGCACCCAGGCTCCAGGCTCAGTCTTGCTAATTGCCTCACCGTGGGCACACTGCTCAACCTCTCTGGGCCTCTGTGTCCCCATCTGTAAAATGGAGTCACAATGCCTGCCTCACAGGGCCATGGTGAGGATGCACTGAGATAGTACTTAAGACCACACCTAGCACACGGCATGCAGCCAGTAAGTACTGGCCATTATCTTTGTCATCATCGTCCTCGTCATCATCTGTGCTTGTGTCCGTCTCCCTGACACAGGGAGCATCTTGAGGGCAAGCACCAGGTAAGATGCAGCTGCAGACACCCCCACAATGGCAGCCCAGCCTTGAGGAGGGGGCAGTGAGCAAGGGGTGGATGACAGAAGGTAAAGACTGACAAGGGCACCTACACCCCAGCTGTGGGCCTGGACAGGGAACAGTGTATGGCTTCTGTCAGGTAACAATGCCCTTCCCCTGTTCCCAAAACAACTGTCCACCTCCCCCCAGCTCTCCGGAAGCCTTGCCTACTCAGGCCCTGCATCCCCTATGGAGCCCCCCCAAACCCAGCCCAGGGAGGGGGACAGGTCTAATGAGCTGCCCGCAGCCCCCTGGTGCCCGCAATCGAATTGGCAATCAGTTTGCTGCAATTAGATTTCTCAGATCCCGCTGGTGATTGATTCTAAATTACCCTCATTAAAGTCTTGGCTGGCAGGCAGGGATGGGGGAGGGCAGGATGGATGGGGGGGTCCTAGCCGGCAGTGCAGGGGGTGCGGGAATCTCTAGGGGTGCCTGGGCCAACACTAACCCCAGGGTGCAGCAACACCGGACGGCAGCCTAGAAGCCCACGGCCCAGCCAGAAGCAGGATGAAGGTCCAAGTCAGTGTTGTCCCCAGTGCCACTCCCACCCCAGAAAACCCTGGCTCTGTGGGGGCTGTGATGACAAGATCAGATGGGGCTCCAGGGTAGGAGAAGGGGCAAATGAACACCAGACTCCACCAGCTGTGTGTGCTTTGGCAGATGACTTCACATCTCTGAGCCTACCTCTAAATAAGGGGAATGCCACCAGCCCTCCTCCCAAGAGAGGTGGGGAGGCTTAGTGAGACCCTCTAAGGCTGGAGAGCCAGCCCCAATGCATGGGCAAGGCCCCAGGCTGTGGCTGGAGCAGCAGCTGTGGGACGTCAGGCTGCGGGGCGGGTCATATCTCTAGGACTCTCCACCCCTGAGGTCCTGTGTAAACATAAACAGTCACCTACTTTGAGCCAGGGCCCGTGTGACAGACAGAACACAGCCGGGGTGCTCCCTAGCTGGGAGGAAAATGGAAAGCACCCAGTCACCATGTCCTGGGCTCAAGCTGCAAATAACGGGGCCTTTCTGGAGCTCCAGGATTGGAAGGGGCTGAAGAGTCATCATGCAGGATGGACTGCAGGCTCCCCAACAGCTCTGGAGAACCAGCGCCCCAGAAACCCAGCACCATGGACCCTGGAAAGTGCTTCCTCTAATCTAGCTTAAGTCCTGCTGGCTCCAGTTGGGAGTCCTGGCCCATGGTCTCCTTCTAAGGGTACCCCCCGCCCCCCAGGTTTCTCCTTCTGGCCATCCATGATCATTCAAACTTAGTTTCCAGTTTTCCACTCTCTCCAAAAGAAAATGCTACTCCTCACCCCCAAGCAGTAGTTCTTCAGTAAGACCCAGAGAGGGACAGGAAAAGAACAAAAACCAAGGCAGGTGAAAGGAAAAACACATCTGCAGGAGCAGCCCGCTCCTTGTTTACTGTAGTACTTTACCTTACTAATTCTCAAACAACGGTGAGGTCCCATTCTAAAGAAAAGCAGACTGCAGGTTCAGAGAGATTAGGTGAACTCACCAAGGTCACACAGCAGGAATGTGACAAAGCCAGGATTTCAACCCTGAACCAGTTGACCCCAGGATCTCTGCTCCTTCTATGACTTGAAGCTGCCCCCTCAGGCTTAGACACTCCAAAACAGACATAGCGCCAAGGCCGGGGGCGGGGGGAGAAGGCAGGCCTCAGCCAGTGGGGGCAATAGGGATTGTAGAACCCTCTCCACCTGCTATAAAAGGACAGTGTAAGCGGTCCCTGTCCTCCACCCACAGCAGCCAGGTAAGAAAAGGGCCAGATCATTTGTCGGGGCCCCCGCCACCCCCACTGCCAGGCCCTCAGCCGTGGCCATTCAGGCTTCCCCTGTAATCATGGCTTCCTGTTTGGCGCTGAGACTGGGCCTGGTCATTCGGGGAGGGGAGTGGCTACCCCACTGGCCACGGTGGGAGGGGGGACGGAAGTGAAGGCTACCCGGCCTCCTGGAATCTGGGGAGGCTGGGAGCCAAGGCAAGTGGGGGGGGGTGCAACGCTGTCAACAAATATTTATCACGATCCAGCCCGATGTTCCCAGGATGTGATGTTATAGAGCACAGGGGCCTGGAGGGGCCAGTGAGACGGGTCAGGCAGTCCAAGCTAGACCCTGCTCTCTGCTGGGACAAGGGTTCAAGGGGATGAAGGGAGCAAGAGCCTGGGCCTTGGGCAGCTCCTGGCTCTGGCCACCCTGCCCCTTGAGACACAAAATCACAGGGCTCCAAGCAGCTGGGCTGGAGCCCAGAGCCACAGTCCCTCAGTCCCGCCCAGACGTGGTGGTGGCAGTGCCTTGGCACTCAGACCTCAGACCAAAGGCCTGCCCACGGCAGCCCCCTGGCGCCTCCCAGCCCATGGGCACATGCCTTGCATGCAGCAGGACTCTGCCAGCCTCACTGTCTCCAACCCACCTACACGGAAAAGGACACAAGCCCCCACCTGGGCTCCAAAGCTCACAGTCCTGGCTTCCTTCGTTCCTTTATTCCCTAATTCATTCACTCCTTTGAACCATTCAGTCAAGCCTGCACCAGGCACAGGGTGGTCCCTGGCGGTTCAGTGAGAAAACAAGGCAGTCACAAGCCTGCCCAGGAAGCTCAAGGTCTATCAAGAAAGTACTGACACTACTAAGAGCTGGGAGACCCCCACCAAGTCACACCCCATCTCTAAGCCTCAATTGCTGTTAGGCCAGAGAGAATCTTAGCTGCAGCGGGACCAGTGCTCAGAGAAAGGGCAGCAGGAACACAGGTTTGGCCCGCGTATACTTTTTTTTTTTCTTTTTGAGGGGGAGTCTTGCTCTGTCACCCAGGCTGGAGTGCAGTGGCGCAATCTTGGCTCACTGCAACCTCCGCCTCCCAGGTTCAAGCAATTCCCTGCTTCAGCCTCCCGAGTAGCTGGGATTACAGGCACCCACCACCATGCCTGGCTAATTTTTGTATTTTTAGTAGAGGCAGGGTTTCACCATCTTGGCCAGGCTGGTCTTGACTCCTGACCTCGTGATCCACCCACTTCAGCCTCCTAAAGTGCTGGAATTACAAGCATGAGCCACCGTACCAGGCTGGCCTCCTCATACTTTCTACAGGTCAGAAGGGATTAAAGGCAGGCCTGGTCACCTCTGCAGAGTGAGCCCCCAATACTGGGGACATCTGGTGCACATCAGGGCTTATGGCGGCTTTTTAGACCCCTCTCATCCTGAGATTCCAATCATTTCCCCTCTCCTGTGCCCTGACCATGAGACCCACACATAAGCCCACTTCTGCACACGTGTGCGGGCACATGCACACAAACATGTACACACATGCACACACACACGTACACACAAACATGCACACACAGTCTTGTTGACAGCCTTTCGCAGTTTATAAAGCTCTCTCCCCACCCCTATACACCCTCAGTAGCCCTCAGAGTAGCTGCTTTTCAGACTACAGAGCCTTGGGAAGCAGCAGAGGAGAAAGAGCCCTGGCCAATCCCTCCCACACGGTGAGGCAGCATCGCCAATCTCCATGGCTATGGAAGAATTAAGTGAGAAAAGATACGGGACCCCACACACAAAGGCAGGCACTTACTAAACAGTAGCTAATGCAGACATGATCTGGGGGGCA